GGATTTTAGTCGTAAAGGTTCCATCTGGGTTTGTCTCTGTTTGTCTCTCAGAGTCTTGTTGGAGATTCCAGGTGAGTTCAGGAGGTGAGTGTGGACAGGGAGTCACAGCTGAGCAGCTTATAGTGACAGACTGATGCTCCTTCAGATCACCAACAGAGATATTAATGCTGGGACTCCAAGAAGAATCTGGAATTTTAAATTAAAAACGTTATTTTCGTTAAACAAATCTTAATATTTGACAGCCATTGAAAATCTTATCCTTTAAATTGGTATATTTAAAACTTTATTTAAACATGCAGGGCAGTTTTAAACTGTTTGGATACACTTTTAAATCATTAATGTTAAACATCCTGCTTTATAGCACCATTTTCATGTTTTTTTTATCCTATTATAAAATTCAAACAGCCAATTGAGTACATTTGTCAAATGTCTACACATTGATTCTAAGGGATTTTTTATTAATGTTCAAAAGTAATCCGTCTTCCTGAAATCATCCACTTTGTGTAATGTACCAATGTCACTTACAATTTAGCATGATGCTGCCACCAGCATGATTGGCCATTGCATATTATGGTTTTAAAGCGTCTTATTGGGGCCATTAAACATTTAGATTATAAATATAACTGAAAATCTGAGTTTCTGTCTCCTCTGACCATAAAACCGTTCTGAAGAAAGAGCTTGGCATATCGTTTAATCAACACCCTATGAGTCTTTCAGTAATTTGTCACATTAGTCATTTGTGTCACTGTGAACATTGAGACAGGTATTCCAGTTTATGACAAGTTTAACTTGACATAGTTTTTTTTTTTTTACCTTATCTTATTTGTGTTTTCAGAACTTTTTCAGTCTCATGAATTATACTTTGGTGATTGAGTGTTACCAAGAAAATGTATCCTGAACATAGATCATGTTTTTTGAATTGATTCAGATAGCTGGTATTTTTCTTCTGGTCCCAACCTCTACTGCATCAAATTATGTCTACCAGGTTTGATAAGAAGTGTGTTAAAAATATTTTATCAAGCCAAAGTTATCACAGAACGCTTTGAAATTATTTTCTGTGTGATTTGAATGGAATCTGCATTTAAAAAAACTACATTTTTTGTCACATGCCTTACCTTTTTTAATCCATATCAGATGCAAGTTAGTTTTATAAAATTATGAAAAATTGTGAATTTAATTAATAAATTCAATTTTAGAAAAACATTTAAACCTAGAGAAAGTTGAGTACAGCAAAAAAAAAAGCATGTGCATTTAGGAGAACTATTTACATACAGTAATTTTAATGGTATTGCTTTGTGCATCTTTCAACAAAGTGTAATCTATAATGTAAAGCTTTGCATATCTTTAGAAAATCAGAAAAAATATGAATCAAGAAGAAGTTTACCTTTAACACCAAAACAGATCCTTGAAGAAGTGTCATTTCCCAGATCATTTGTAGCCTCACAGTAATACTCTTCTCCTTCAGTAACAGAGAAGTTGTAAACCTGCCCCACAGATACTTTAATGGCTCCATGTTTGCTGTTCCTGAACCAGGTGAAGCTGGCAGGAGGCTTGGCTCTGCTGGAGCAGCTCAGCTCCACCCAGCTACCTGCTGACACCAAACCTGATGGACTGATGGATGCTGAGGTGTCTTTAGGAGCATCTGAGGAAAATGGGACACACATTAACTTTATTGATCAGAAACAGCTGAACCATGACGTGCTGACAGGATCACTTACA